CTTTAGTTCCAGTCTTTTGTACCAGTCTTTAGTTCCAGTCTTTTGTATCGGTCTTTAGTTACGGTCTTTAGTACCAGTCTTTAGTACCAGTCTTTAGTTCCAGTCTTTAGTTTCAGCCTTTAGTTCCGATCTTTAGTACCAGTCTTTAGTTCCAGTCTTTAGTACCAGTCTTTAGTTCCAGTCTTTAGTTTCAGTCTTCAGTACCAGTCTTTAGTTCCATTTTTTAGTACCAGTCTTTACTTCCCGTCATTAGTACCATTCTTTAGTTCTAGTCTTTAGTTCCACTCTTTAGTACCAGTCTTTAGTACCAGTCTTTAGTTCCAGTCTTTAGTACCAGTCTTTATTTCCAGTCTTTAGTACCAGTCTTTAGTTCCATTTTTAAGTTCCAGTTTTTAGTTCCAGTCTTTAGTTCCAGTTTTTAGTTCCAGTCTTTAGTTCCAGTCTTTAGTTCCAGTCTTTAGTACCAGTGTTTAGTTCCAGTTTTTAGTTCAATTCAATTCAATTCAGTTTATTTATTTAGCGCCAAATCACAACCAAGTTGTCCCAGGGACTTTACAGAAACATTCACATAAAAGTCAATTAGTAAAATTCTCTATCTAAGGAATCCAGCAGACAAGTTGAATCTTGGCTTTGTTGCAGTCTCCCATCCTGAGCAAGCACAGTTCCAGGCTTTAGTTCCAGTCTTTAGTTTCAGTTTTTAGTTCCAGTCTTGAATTCCAGCTCAGCGACAAACTGAGGCTGTGAACAACCTCATGATGAAGATGTTTGTTCTTAGCTCTACAAAACTATCCCGAGTTTCTCATGGAGGCAACGGATCAAAACATTCAGATTTTTACTTGTAATCTCAACGAATTTCTATATACTATATAATTTACATTTAATCCCAGAGTATCCTGATTCTTTTTCGTGATTTCATGCGAGTCGTGAGTAAGCCTTCACAACATTTAGAGACTCGACCCATCTGGACTAATGTCAGTTTGTCCCAAATGGCTGCAGAACATTTGTTTTAGACTCATGACCATTTCTTCAGCTTTCATCTGAAATCATAGAAAGAGTTAGACGATTTTTCAGTGTTTATTTGAACCAGCTTCATTACTGTCTCTCGTTATGCAGACGACACTTTTCTTTATTTTAATGTGTTGATGAGACAGTCTCTGGTCTAAATTACATGGGTTAATAATGACATGGAAAAATGCACAATTTTCAGCTCACTGTAAAAGTTCACATTAGGTCTTTTTCTGTTTCTTGTTTTTAGAACAAAAGACAAGAAAAATATTGAGCATGCATCAGGATACAAGAAAAATCAGATTCCGATGAGCTTTTTTTATTCACAACACGAGCTCAAAGTGAATTTGAGCATGGACTGATTAGTTGTGAACGTCTCAGACCTCACAGTCTGACAGTGACCGGGTGGGTCAAACATTATAACTGAACTCAACACTAAGACGTATTTCACCGACAGACCTGGATGTCGACAAACAAACTCATATATTTTCCTGTGAACTGAAGTGGCCTTAATGAAGTGTTTGACTCTAAAGTTGCATCAGCTGTCACCGGCTGACTGATGGAGTCCACATAGATCCTCCAACATCCAACTCAGCTCATGTTTCTGTTGGTCTCTGAAGAGGTTTTGTTTCTGTTCTACAGCCCACTTTTAACAGAACTGAGACTTCATGTAACATTTGATAAATCGATGATCCATCTCCTCCTACCTCTGATCTTTAGTCGTGTCGCAGAGACAACAGGTCCAGGAGAGAAACCAGTCCTCCCTCTCCCCAGAGACACTCTCCAGTTCCTCCTGGTGGATCTTGAGGTGTTCCCAGACCAGAGAACATACACAATCCCTCCAGAAAGTTCTGAGTCTGCCCTGGCTTCTCCTCCCAGTGGCATGTGACCAGAAAACCTCAAAAAGGAGGCGTACAGGAGACGTCCTGACCAGATTCAAAAAGTGTTTGATACAAAAACAACTGGACTTTATTTGTAACAGAAGACGTTTCACTCCTCATCCGAGGAGCTTGAACACAAACTCTCTGTCATCAGAACTTTACAGCATCGGGCCAAATGCGTCCCCACGAAGACAGAAGGGAAGGAAAAGGAACTGAAACACGTTCAAGAAGCTCTTCTAACATGTGGATATCCTAACTGGGCTTTTGTCAAGTCAGCGAGGAAATCTACAAAACACACCAATAAACAGAAAAAGGAGAACAACAGACGTAAAAACATTGTCATCCCTTATGTTGCTGGAGTATCAGAGAAATTCAGAAGGATCTTCAACAAACACAAGATCCCAGTACATTTCAAACCCAGCAGGACTCTCAGACAGAGGCTGGTCCACCCTAAGGACAAGACACCCATACACAAACAGAGTGGTGTAGTGTCTGTGGTCCAGTGCAGCGAGGACTGTCCAGACCTCTACATTGGAGAAACTAAACAGCCTCTTCACAGACGCATGACTCAACACAGGAGAGCCACCTCCTCTGGACAAGATTCAGCTGTTCACCTCCATCTCACAGATAAGGGACACTCTTTTGAGGACCAGAATGTGCACATTTTGGACCGAGAACACAGATGGTTTGAGAGGGGGGTGAAGGAAGCAGTTTATGTAAAAAGAGAAAAGCCGTCTCTTAACAGAGGAGGAGGCCTCAGATTTCCACTTTCAAAAACATATAATGCAACTTTAAAACAGATTCCCAGCCGGTTTTCACACCTGATGGGAACAGAGGGGTCTCGTCTGTGAATTAGAGGAACAAAGACTCTTATGTTGTTTAGGTGTGAACTGCCAATCTACATATATGTGTGTGTGTGTGTGTGTGTGTGTGTTTTATCTCACTCAGCCTTATAACCTGAATCTCTCACTCTCTGCTCTTTGAATTGAGAAAGCTCCTCGGATGAGGAGCGAAACGTCTTCTGTTACAAATAAAGTCCAGTTGTTTTTGTATTGAACGCTTTTTGAATTCATCATGTCCTGGATGACTGAGAATCTTCACCAGCATCCTGACCAGATGAACCTCCTCAACTGTCTCCTTCAGATGCAGAGGAGCAGCAGCTCTCCTCTGAGCTCTCCCCGGATGACGAAGCTCCTCACACGATCACAAAGCCTGAGTCCCCCCGTCCAACAAAGGAAACACATTTCAGCTGCTTGGATTCAGGATCTGGTTTTATCAGTCCTGATCCAAACCTCACAACCACAGGTGAGCGTTGGACCGTAGACAGACCAGTTAATCCAGAGTTTTGCTTTTAGACTCAACTCATTATTCACTATGATTGACCAAAGCAATACCCTCATTACTGAAGACAAGACCCCAATCCGTCGATCCATCTCCCACTCTATCCGACCATCACTCGTGAACCAGACACCCAGATACCTGAAGTCCCCTCCCTGAGGCGCGACTCAGGTGGAGCTGTGATGATCCATGATACAGAAAACACGTCAGTAATAAAACATCCACTACTCATACAGTTCTGTCAGAACCTCTTTAACAAACACACATCAAGAAAAACAAGCAAACTCAGTTTAAATAGGAAATATTTCAGAGTTTAAAGATTTATGTCCACGTTTATTATTCAGCTTCAGTCTATAGGTTTTAAGAATTGGATGAATGCGGTCTTTAGTGGGTCTTAAGATAAGGTCAAAACAACACGAGATAAAGAATTAATTTCATATTACACAGTTTTATTTATTTATTAACCAAAAACGAAAGTAAAGAGCCTGAACCAAACTGACAGCTGTTTTTTCATTTATGTTGCTGATAGATGCAAGAGGCTAAAGACGGAGCCCTGAGGCCCTCCTGCAGTGGAGAAATTACTGTTCTGGCTGTAAGTTGTGAACTGTAGTACCAATCAAAAACATACATGTCGGACTTGTTGGACTAGATTAGTTTAAAATCAGCTGATATTTAAATATTCTGCTGCTTCTGGCTGAATGAAGGGAATAAATGAGCCGACGACATGTCAGACTTCACAGTTATGTCGATGATGCACTGTTCGGTTTCCTGTTGACTCACTGACAACTCGACACCAAATCTAACCTGCAGGGCTCTCTCCGAGTCGTTTCACGAAGCGAAGCAAACGTCTGTTACTCTGAGCCTGGAATCGATTTATTCAATGGTTTCTTCCTCTTCTAGTTTAAAACGAACGAACAGAGAAGAGAAGCTCAGCAGCAGAGAGCAACGTTTACCTCCATCCTGCTGGTTCGTCTGTCAGCCGCCTCAATATGTGGAGTATGTGTGAAAGAGGGAGGGGGTGGCCCGTGGGTTAAATATAGAGCCAGAGTCATGTCAGGATGAGAGACCTACAGTTACACAGGGGGGGGGGGGGGGGGGGGGACAGATGCTCTTCTTTTGTCAACTTTTTTTTTTTTTGTTTTGTTTTTTCTTCCTCTTCAAAA